TAGCACATACGGTCGCGAGTGACTGAGTCAAGCAGGCCTAGTCAGTCACGAGCGAGAGCACGACGGGTCTTGGGGAGAACGTTGGCAGAACCGGCGTAGCGTTTGTAGGTACGCAGCATTCGATTTACTAAGCGCTTTCTTGTACGCTAGGTCCATTTATTTGAGGTCCTATTGCTCTTCTTTCTCATATTAATTTCTACCTTAACTATCTTCTATAAACTTAAGCTAAATGCATTTAACTTCTTTAACATTTTCGCGTTCATGGCATTTCCTTAACTCATCGCGGATTCGTTCGGAACCAATTTTTGTATACGCTCATTTAGTGAAGAGTTATGTCACCGTATCTATATTCATTACCCGATTTATTTTATTTCATCTTGTCGTTTCAAGTGATTGGCGATTGCTTGATATCCTCGTTGTGGCTGCGCTTGATATGCATGTTGACAAGGTGCCTACTTGTCTATTACTCACTACCCCGTCCATACTGGCTCCAGTAGACAGTTGGTCGTTGCTGGAGGGGACGGGGTGCACGGCCCCTGTGGTCATGCTAGGCTCGAAGAGTGGTTCCATGCACTCAGTGCTGTGTAAACTGCGATCCAGCCACCGCTTTGTGTGCACTTGCTTCCCTAATACAGCGTGCTTGTGTTTGCCTGTGAAGGAGTGTGGGCCGGCTCCGTTGATGAGACGCGGCTCCCATCCACATGCCTGCCGGTCTTATTCCTTCGGGTTTACACTGGATATGGAGTGTGTGGTTGGAGCTGTGGTTGGTGCGGCGCAAGCCACCCATGGTCCCTCCGTAGGCGCAGGCCTTCTGTGACTGGCCATAGCCACAGGCAAATCGGAAGGCGGATGCCACCAACCATGTCACTCATCCGGAACCGTCCCAGCAGTAGAGGTTGGGCGCTTCTGTACCACCGCCGTGACGTGTTGTGTGCCAATAATGATGATCCGGGAACTTGTTACCGACTCACTCTGGTGACGTCTCCGACTAAAACGCAACGCCGCATGTTTCGTAGCCGGGAAACGTTCTAATCTACACGATCTGCAGGTATCGGCATTACCCAATGAACAGTTCAAAGCGGACTTGCCTAAACTTATCGCTTATGTTCCGTCGTACAATCGAGTCATTTAGTGTGTCGGCCCCACGACTGCTTCCTCCCACTAACGGTATTGAGAACACGGCAATCCGGGCACAAAACAACGGTACTAGCCGCGAGCCAAACCGGCCGCCAAGCGTCCATGAGCACGAATCAACCATACAATTCAAATCAGAGCATCTACACAGCCTATGCGGAAAAGGTTGACCTTCCTTCAATCAAGACTGGTCAATTTAAGGGTGAAGGACCGATACGAGGCCTCCGGACGAGCGAAATACACAGAGCATGGGAAAAGCTAATAAGCATAAGATTCAGTGTCAACACAGGCTAATCGCAAATGTGATGCAACAGAAACATGTATGCAGGGAACTATAAAAGGCAGGAAATGAAGAAGGTTGAGTGAGGCAAACTCATAAAACGACGGGGAGTGGTTGAGTTTCCTTACCGGTGTTATAACATCACTGCGCCCATTAGATTCGGCACAGCGAACAATTCATCCATATTAAGCCTGGTGCTCATAAATGAAGACGTTTTGATCGACGTTATTGCTGGAGAGTCCATTAGGTCTCAGCGACCATGTAATCAAAACATTCGACTATGTTATGCAGAATATCCATTTGAACACTTAGAACAAATACAATCACATGCTAACACTTTTTAAAAGGACTCGTCAAAGCATCCGCTTGGGAGTTCTCGGACCAGTCCGCCGGCGGCCGAAAGGATTGCACGCCTGACTTGCAGTCCTTAGGTCACCGGTTCAAATCCGCCTAGGGTCGGGAGTCTTCGCAGTATACTAAGTTCACGCGCGATAGGTGTTAGTGGCGTAACAGCGAAGCGTCGGTCCGGTGTGTCGGCCTACTGCCTATGACTTTTTCCCGGAAAACTGTTCCATTGACGACGTTTGGATAGAATTCGCTGAAAGGCTGTGACACTATCAACAGCGCGCCAGAGAACAAGCTACTTCGTTTCATTAAGGTGCATGATAACAAACAGCATGGATCATGGCGTGCCTATAGGGCTAAGTTAAAATCAGAGACTTGGGGCAACTACCTGACCGATCGCAACCTTTACACCACACTTGACAATGGAGACAAAGTAATTTGTCTACAGTGTCTAGCCAAAAGATTTCTGGCAAACAACGAACTACTGTAATGCCATATCAACAATCTCAGTAACATAAAGCATGTCATCCCTCTCCACTTTTCGTATTCGCAGTCTCTCCCTGTCATATGCCCTCAAGCACATTACCGATTCCATGCTTTACACATGTAATTTTCAACCCGGCAAATGTGCTAAGGAAGTTTCTCTCATATGTATTTTCAACGACGTTTCGATGAACAGCAAGTCCCGACTTTGTGGAGGCGACATTACTAGCTCATTTATTATAGGCGGTAGACGTTCAGACCATGTAAACTAGCGCCCGGTGAATCTCCTCCCTTTACTCGCGAAGCTGTCTGCCGATGACCGAAGGTCTACGCGCCTGGTTTGCAGCCATAAGGTCCTCGGTTCGAACCTACGTATGGGTGGGCGTCCTCGCGGTATACTCAGCCCGCCCGCGACTGGTGGTGGTCGCGCGGCAGCGAAGCGCCGTTACGGCGTACAGCTGACACAATATTCATAATCATAATAGTAATAATAAAACTCGCGAATCGGATGGAAGCAGTCGTCGCTGAGACTCTAGTGGATTACCTTGAGAAATGCAACATCTTGGCACCGAAGCGGCATGGCTTCCACCAACACTCGTCACGCACCACCAACCTGCTGATAACATGAGGTGGTTGAAGTGGCTGACTGGGGGGAGGGGTCGGCATTGATATCACCTGTCTGAACTTTCTTATTGCTTGTAACCACCTGGATCACCGTATCCTACTTCACAGACTACAGAGCAACGCCATGTGGTGTTTCACAGGGCTCGGTACTGGGACCGCGCTTATTCCTGGTGTTTAATATCGATCTGAGATGAGGTATATCCTCCAAGTTCCTGCTTTCTGCCGATGATGTTAAAACATGGCGGACGATAAATAACAAGAAAGATCGCAATTTCCTCCAGTGTGAGCTGGATTGCATCCATGAATTGTCAAAGCAGAACCTACCACAGTTCAACGCACTTAAATGCAACGTGATCCGCTTGCGTTACCAACCGGTGTGCGTGTACAAGCTTGGAGACCACACCTTGCAGAAGGCCGCTGGAGAGTGACTTGGGTGTACTGGTACAGGCTATCTCGAATGCTCAAAACAAGCAGAAAAGGCGTCGGAAATTGGCAAGTAACACTTTGGCTTCTTTTGCAGGGCGTTCTCTCAGTTTGATACCTCAATATTCGGACAAATGGTGAATGTTTACATGCGACCGCACATGAACTCTGTTATCCAGGCGTGGCAACCGCAGCAGAAACAGGATTTTGTTGCTCTATAGGCTCCATAAGGATGGGCAACCATCAATTTTCGGGCCTCTTCCATCTGCCCTACTGGCGTAGACGAATCCCTAAGCATGTACCACAGTCGATATCGGAGTTTGCGTGGGGATCTCATAGTGATTTACCAGCTTCTGCAGAACCCAAAGCACATTAACCCTCCGCTGCTGAAACTGAACCACAACACCAGCCTAAGAGGTCATCCATTGAAACTGACATTACTGTCTAGCCGGTTAGAATGTTGTCGGAATTTCTTTTCCTTCCAACTGTGTCAGCCGTGGGAGACTTTTACAATATATGTCGTCTGTGCCTCCAATCAGACGATATTTCAAAAACCACTTTACAAAACCTTGTCCCACTGGGATTTCGTCTAATAACTTTTGTTAGTCATGTGGCTAATAAACAGCCAAACGTTGTTTCTCCGAAATTTCAACTAATGGATCTATACTATTTATTCGCGAATATCTTCACTATTCTACCTAAATCTGTGGTGAGTCCACCTAAACGCTTTTCCTCTTATCATGAATTTTTATTCTCTCAGTACTTTATAACTCACAGGACTAGTTAATCATGGCTATTTTACCGGTACTAAACCAACTGGAAGTGGATGTTGGGCACCGTGTTGTTGAGATATGTCAAGTGGCGATTTACCGAGCCCTTTAAAATTTAGTCTGTCATGTGTGGGCGTCCTTAACGTCACAAGCACGAACGTTTCTGTTCTGCTAGAACCGAGCTATGCTCTTTGTGGACGTAGTCTCTTGCTAAATCAGAAAATACACTTTTATTTGTTTATTTAAATTCGCAGTGGTTGTCCTACTCCGTCAACTAGACTTATTCGCCCGGTGAAAATCTCACACAAGTAAAGCCTGGTCGACAGTTCATGCCTCTAATATCTTCTGAAACCTGTTCCGAGGATCCATTTTTCAGTGGATATTAAAAGACCAGAGCATAAATCAACTGAACTGTGGCCACGACTACGAGTTCGATATGTCGGCTGGTTGCTTTGCAACTCTTTGGTGCCGGTTTCGAGCCTGGGTAGGGGACCGCGTGACGTTTGCTGCGTCCTTAGTCCATGCACTACTGGTGGGGTATGCGTGGAAGTGAAGCGTCAGCACGACTTCTGCTGCTCCGCAACCCAAGACATGTCCATCCTCGTCCGAGCGTGTGCTGCATAGTTGGTATGATGCAAGCAATGTTGTGCCGGGGAATTTAGCCTCTTATTGAGTATTATTCGCTTGACATCCTTTTTCAGATTTTGCCGAATTGGGCAGTAGCCCAGCTCACAACGAATAGTAAACATTTATGCCAACAAGGTCTCTGCCAACCATGCTGGTAGCTCGTTGTTTTTCGGAGACGACTAGCTGAAATTGACCTTACTCTGCCGATTGGCTGACAGCTGATAGTCAACTCCAAATATCATATGTATTATACCTCATAAGAGTATATTGTTGCCCGATTCTGTCAAATCATTTTTTATCTGCCGTTAACACAGGGGTGCCACTAATCTGCTCACTGAATCCTGGGTCTGTGAAATCGCTAAAAGACATAACAAAACGAGTGCTCAGGTTTTACTACGCTATTTGCTGCAGCGCAACATTGCCGTGATCCCCAAATCGGCTACCCCATCGCGTATCCTGGAGAATGCTCAGGTTAGTGATTACCACATGTTTCATAAGTATCCTTGTAACTTTTCGTCATGTTTGGTGGTTTCCAGTCGGTAACTCTTCACAATCTTTGCATTCTGTTTTGAACCACTTGCTCAGTTCATACATTATACTTTTATCTTTCTACACAGATCTTTGATTTTTATTTATCCGAAGAAGAAATGCACTCTCTTCACACTAGTGCTTTGAATGAGCGCATTTACCAACTTACAGAGTAAGATGGCTGTTACTAGACCCACTAAACTCTTGATTTCTAGGATGGAGTGCGCTGACGAATACCCATTCCACGAGGAGTTCTAATGCGAGAGTATCTTTCACATTTCCACAAGAATTTTGTCATCATTTTGCTCATTTCTGTCACGGATGTGTATCACTACGTTGTGGCCTAATAAACATGTGTCCTTCACTACTTTCTTTGTTGCCATCGCGACGAGACTGGACCTTACTGGGGTATGGTCGTTTGCGTGCTGCAGTGATCCATCGGACTATGCTGATCTGCACTTTGTCCCACTCATCCCTCTTAGCCTCCCCTACAACCACGATCTCACTAGTTAGCCTCATATAATTTTCCATAGTATTTTTTCGATGCACAGTAGCCGGCTGGTAGCTTATCGGAACGATGCTCATCCGTTACCAGTAGCTCAGCCGGCTTGCACCAGTTGCATGTTTTGCTCCTTTTTTCTTTTAGGTATTGCGGCACAGTAGCTGAGGTGTTTCCCACCTCTAACTAACGTGTATAATGATGATGATGATGACTTTCAGAGCCACTCATGCCAGGTTGGTCAGTGGTTAGAGGCCAGACAAACTCGGTCTCCTAGCTCTTCAGGTTGAGGTTGGGGTGACGGTGGCTCCTCACTTCATACGACGGACCTGTAGCGCAGTGCCAAAACCTCGCTGCGTTGTATTCAGGTTTTGAACCATAGAGGTTAGTCAAGAACGCTAATCGTTCTCTTGTATATGCCTGGGCGGCCTGAAAGTATCATTTCCACGCAGTAGAATACAGTGACTCTCTTGGTGCTCTGGTCGTTGTAGAGGATAATCAACGCTGCCCTATCTGCAGCATCGATCAGGTGGAATAGGAGTGAAAATGCTGCTGGTCAGATCTTCACGTCTTCTTATTCTTTATCTTGCGCTTTTTCATTGTTATCGTCCCGTTCCAACTTCACTTTCGTCACCCTTGTTTTTGAACCCGTAATTCTCGGCCCTACTCATCTGGATTCAACAGCCACTTGTCTTCTATTTTTGACTCACACGCAACCGCAGGGATTCACTCCAGCCCAGTCGACAAGTCCATGTTTAAGGAAGCATACCCTAGAAATCAAATCAGAGAATCAATTCCTTTTCGATACTTCTCTTCAGACTAATGCATGCGTTAAAATGGTTAAAAATGTGACAGGCTAAGATGGCTGGGCTACTGCTGCTTCAGTCTGAACAGGGTTCTTTACCTGTTGATCAGCTTCTCCAATCAATGAAGACAATAACGCACATGGGGTCACGGAGTAACCGCCTGAGATCGAATTAAGCGACGCTCACGGTGAGATCAGAGCCAAAACAAATGTAGCGTCTGTACTAGCGTCCTCTGTTTGCACAGTTTCGGTCGCATTAGCCGGATCGCAGTGGCTTCAGCAGTCATTAGTGGGCCCTTTCGGGTAGCGTTTTAGTGCGGCGCTAAAGACTCTAAAAGCTTCCGAGGTCTCGACTTGATGCTCGCTTTGGATTACATGTTACAAAATAGAGGTGTTGTTATGTCCAACTGTGCGCTTCTATATTGTTGCTGGGCAATGTTATACTGTCCGTTTGATCATGCGTCTGGTCGTGTATCCAAGGTTTCTTGCGCCACTGGTGCAAGTAAATTAACATAGAATAAAAGATGCAGACATGACCGGGAGTCGAGCCTTAAGATGTTCGTTAATAAACGGGGCCGTTTCTGCAACAATATGCAGGTAAGCAGCAGGGGATGACTTGATTTTATGTTTAGGAGTCTGCTGTTCAAGAATACGAATGCGGCATCTCCTTTAAAACGGCTTGTAAGCTAAACATCCTCTTTCGGCACCGTCACAGTTGTTTCTCGTCGGTCACGGATCAAAGAATTCCTCTCGGTGAACGTAGCGTTGTAACCATTATCCTCTAGCATCCTAAGGATGCAATCCTTTTCGCTTTCCAGTGTTTCAGGACTACAATTTTTTAACGCGATAGTACAGGCAGCGATTTAAGTTTCGTTTGTACTTCAACAGTACAAAGCTGCGGATATGTGCGTCTTGGCCAATCCAAGTAGACTTTTGACGAACAGTTCTCTGGAGAGAGAGCCATCTTTTCGTCTGTTTAACAGTATGTCCAGAAAGGCTAACTTTTCATCGCTTTCAATTTTGCATGTAAATTTCAAAGACGGTTGCGATCTATCAAACTGATCTAGCAGATGAGATACGTCACAAAGTATCTAGGTGTCATCCATGTATCTCCACTAGGGATCAACTGACGTGATACTTTGTCGGAAAGGTCCACGTTCAAGCTTGGCAAGGCAAATATCGGTAGGCAATGACCTTAGAGACGACGCCATCACTACTCCATCTGTCTATAAGCGCATCCTTCAAACATGAACTGACTGGATAAAGTTCATCGTATGATCCGTTCCTTCAACACAATTACTGGGATACTATTATAAACGTCCTACATGGGTTTCGGCAGTCCTAGTCGAAACGGACGAGCTCTTTCACTCGTTGGTTCCCAAGCGCAGGGTAGTCTAAACTATTCGAATTGCAGTGGCATGTGAACTTAGGCGGCAGACGTGAACTCGTAGCTGAGAAGATAGACGGAACGCGTAAACGCTGCACAAGCGTACCGAGACCCGCAGAATCAAGGCTAGCCTTTACTGACAACTAAGGCAACCGGGCTTACTACAACTTCATGCTTATAGTTCACTAACACAATAATAAATCTATAGACTATAAGGAAAGGCGTACGTTTGTTGACACATAAGTTGCCATGTAATGGATCTATCTCCGGGCATGGATGGGCGGAGCCAATGCTGTTGAGAGGTTAGACACATCACAGTTGCTGGGTGTGCTCGGTACGAGGGCATTGGCGTGAACACCACTCAGGAGCCAGACTTTACTTGAGGCTAGACCGTAGATACGATTGTGACATTGGGACGGGTTCTTTGGGAACTGTGCGAGACACGTTGGCCGCGTTCTCATTGACCACAACTCTTTTGTCATCTGTGCAGGTGTTTGGCAGCAGTTTCCGTAGGGAGAACTTTGCTCTGAACTGAGTAGTTTAGGTCTTTGCATAGCGATCGTGGGTTTGGGCTTGATAGTGTACTGACGCTGGTGAGTTTGGCAGGGCGGTGTAAGCCCTGTAGCAGATACGAATATATCTATGGTTTTATGCAATGTACTCAATTACAATCGACTGTTTCTAGCAACGGAACATTTGTGAAAAGTGACTGGAAATCGGACGAAAGCATTAATTTCCCAGATGTTCCACTAGTGTAGCAAACTCAATAGACTCTTTTAAAGTATGGACGCACGTACCGGTTCTAACAATTCCGCAATCCATTTGACGACCGCATGGAAGGTGGAAGCAGACTTGTTAATGACCAGGTGCAAGGGCACATTGGGTGATGCTTAGAGTTGGGATGGATTTGCTACGAATGGAGTTAGCTGTTCAAATATGCGGCACTTATGTCATTAGAATTCCGCAGTTCCTTCAACGAGCCTGTGCTTCTTGTCTCATTTTGTGTGGTTCTCTTTTTGTACTATGTCATGCATGAACTTGTTAATGACTTGAATAAATATATGCATTTTTAAGACAGTCTGGTTTGTCCAGCAGAACCCATCCTGCTCCTTTGTCTGTCCGGGAAATGATCAATTCTGGATTCACTCTCAATTCTGTGATAAGCATATTGATGTCACTTTACTGGAAGCTGGAATATTCGTTTGCAGGACGTATACTGCTGACATAGATGAGCTAACGTGGTTTCGAAAATGTAGTTGGCAAGGGTACAAATGGGATTCAAACCAGACAGTTGGTGCATTAGATTTTCAGATTGGGGTTCTAAATGAATTTGTCCTTGAGGTGGATGAGAATGACAAGGTTTCGGGCCCAATGCTAACACCTCTAGTTGCAATTGATTTATCGTATATTACCGAATATAAGCAGACATTTTAATTGCCGACAGTATAGCTGCAATAACAACAAAACGAGCGGAGCTCTGAACTGTCTTCTGGGGGCTTCATCTTTTCGATGACTTCAATATTGCCGGAATCTGTGCGCCGGTCATGTTTGTCGATGATAAACCCAAGAAATTTGCCACTTTCTAATAGGAACTCACATTTTCCAGCTCGCAATCGTGATCCAGCTTCTTCGAGACACGAAACCACTCTCTCCAGTGACTGTATCAAATCTTGCGGATCTGAACCCATTTTCAACGCATCGTCCAGGTATCCGCGGTATTTGGGATATCACTCAGCAGGGTATCTATTATTTGTTGAAAAATGGCCAGTGCACTTTTCACTCCGAATGGCAGCCGGTTGTACTGATCTGGTCCGAGGTGGGTGTTTATTGTCGGTACTGTACTGCACTGATGGGCAACTGGAATTTGCAGGTGCACATCAGCTAGGTCAAATTTTGCGAAACTATTCCCCCATTTGCTGAACGAGTCTTCTGCTACCGGCAGGAGATATTGTTGATCTTCCAACACAGAAATCTAATCTGTCGAGAAACCTGCACAGATACGGACTTTACCATTTCCTTTTTTTCCACCCCGATAGGTGCTGCCCATATTGAATAGTGCACTTGTTCGATTATCCTTTCAGATTGTAGTCGGTTTAACTCGGCTTCCACTAAGGGCTGGGTTGCGGGCGTCCTGGTCTGAACACTGACTTGGCGTCTGGTTTAAGACTCAACGCAGCAGTAGCTGTGTTTCAACATGTGAGACCAGGTTGGAACAATTCATCGTGACGTCGTTTTATCTCGGTACTTTGACTTTTAAACATCGGGCTTGTTGTAGACGGTTGCGACAACAGATTGACATGCGGTGTCTGTCCTATACTGTTCACTGATTGCTCAAGCAGTTTCAGTTCATCCATCCAGTCGAGCCCCAACAAATCTAACCCCAACTGGTCTGTCACGAAATATGTCGTCTGGATTTGTTTATCGTGGAAGTTTACCCGACAATTCAGTTCACCAAACAATTTTAACGTGCCTTCTGAAGCATTCCGTGCCCTGTGGTCCGTTTGTATGAGTGTCGGTCGCCCCAGCATGCACCAAGTGTCGCGAGATATCAGGGTGCTATCTGAAGCCGTGTCGATTTGTAACATGACTTGGAAGCCTTTGATTTTCACAATTGTGTATTTGCGCTTGCTGGTCCCGTCAACCTTGAAAGTTGCGGTG